TTTTTCCTTTCTTATTTCTTTCCTTGATTCTTTTAGACAGGTCCTGGTTGACCTAGAACTCCCAGTGTAGACGAGGCTCTTCTTGAGATTCACCCAACTCTACCTCTTAAATTCTGGGATTAAAGAGGTGCCTGTTATGGTAAAACGCTGCCATGGGTGGGTGGGAGACGGATAGGCACCATGCAGAGAGAGGGTTTGGGTATAGTTTATTCAGTGGGTTATGGAGGGAAAAGGGAAGTGGGGGAAGGGTAGAAGGGAAAAGAGCAGAGAGAGAGAGAGAGAGATTGGAGGTGGGAAAGACATGAAAAAGAGAGAGTTGAGGCTGGAAGCAAAAGGAAGATCCACTTGCCTCAGTGGACAGAGAGGGAGTAGGTTCTGTAAAGATCTGGCTTGTCCCTTTAAGAGACAAGCCACACCCACTCCCTCCCCTGTCTGCTGAGGCAGAGAAATCGTCCTTCCTGCTTGCAGTCTGAGTCTCTTCCTTTTCCATTTCCCTCTCAAAGAGGCAGCTTTTGCCTCTCCCTTCTGTCTGTCTCTCTCTGTTCTTCTCTCCTTTCCCCACCATAACCCACTAAATAAATATCCATCCTCACTCTGCAAGGCGTGCCTATCTGTCTGTCTCTCACCTGCTGCCTGGGACCAGCCGCCTTCAGATCTGCAGCATGGTCTCGTGCATAGTCCCTACCTGGGACTGGCTTCTCTGGGGCGCGCTGCCTGCCCATGCTTAGAGACCTTCGGCGTGGTCTCATGGAGTGTCCATCTGTCTGTCTCTCCTCGTGGTCTGCTGCAGCCACTTGGGATCTGCAGCATTTTTATTAATCCATTTCATTGGTGCTGTGACTTGCCTATGTCTCTCGCTGCCTAGGATCAGCCACCTTTGGAGACCTGTGACATGGTCTCGTGGCCTGCTGCAGCTACTCGGGGAACTGTGCCATCCCTGTCTGTGACTAGCTGCTCTCTGGGGCCCACTGCCTGCCCTCACTCAGGGGCTGGAGGCATGGTCTCATGGCCTGCTGCAGCCACTCAGCATCCACAGCATTTTACTTTTACCATTACATTGGTGCTGTGAGACTCAGGAGGCTCTCCTGCCCCAAGCCCCTCTCCTGGGGTCGGGATCCGGAACCAGTTATTTTTTTCCACAACAACCACATGTTCCATGTGCCTGAGCATGATTTCTCTGCATAACACCAACTTGGACTGGTGAGTTTCCCCTATGGTTGAGCCCTTTGCTGACATTCATCTCTGGATTGCTTCCCTTAGCTAAAATTGTGACCGGACTGACCCGGGGTCAGTCCTCCCTTGCTAGCACTGCACACTCTGTGTGGTGCATTTGACTGGGGGCCCAGGATCCCTCAGTTTTTCTTTCTCTTTTTTCCTTTTCTTTTCTCCCCCCTTCCGTGTTGTTTGTTTTTGTCTTAGTAAAGGCCACTTGGAGCCTTGTGGTGTTGCCATTTCATGGGTTTTCACAGTTCCAGCTGTGGGTAGCAAGCCACCCATGTCCACCCCCCTGGGATGGATGCCTTTTAGAGGCCCTAAAACCACAGGCCTTAATGCCCTACTTCTTCAGCTCCTCCCCTCACTCTGGCGGTGTCCCACCAGCTCCACTTTTATGGGAGCTTTCTGACTACTGTCAGCACACAGGAAAATGGACCCCACCTCTGCTAATGCTGCCAAAAAGATTGTTTAGATCCACGAGACGGCTTTTCCAATTCCAGCCTTTTGCTCCCCTCTGCGGCTTGTGGCATGGTGACAGGGTGGATCATGTCTCTAGGTCTCTCTTATTATTAACCTTAAATTCCCTGCAGCTCAAAATTGCGGCTTTTCCATACAACATGTGACTGCTGCCATTTTGACTAAGGTCAGGTGACTTCACCACCATCTTGGCTGAGAGCCAGGTCAGGTGACCAAGTTCTGCCATCTTTACTGAGGTATTCCCTGACTGGTTCTCCAGTGTTAACTCTGTTAAATGGCTAACCTTACTGCATCTTAACTGAGGTCAGGTGACTTTTCCTCAATCTAATTAATCTTAATTAAAGAGCCAGGTCAGGTGACCAAGTCCTGCCATCTTAACTGAGGTATACCCTGCCCGGTCCCCTGGTTTACTTATGTTTTTGTCTCTAAACTCCTCTTGCTGACTCTGTTGCATGTGTGTTTTGTGCAGTGGCATGCCTTTGGTAGGGCCCACCAAGAGCATCCACTTCACCCAATTCCTGTTCATACATGTAACTTAAATGGACCTATATTTACTGTTAAATGTTATAATTGTCTGTTCATTGTATCTCATTCCAGACTACAAAACAATAAGTCTCATTTTTAAACTGGTATGTACTTTTAAGTCTCTTACAAAAATACTTTATATTTAATCCAACCTTCATTTAAAATATATTAAGATATTCTATACTATTGTCAGTTCTGCAGGAGAAAGGGAATAAGAAAAGCTCCAGGAGGAACCGGTAATCCAGTTTTCCCAGTCCCCACAGAAAGGAGTCTGATCCGGACCTGAAGCTGCCAATTCATGTAGCTGCAGGGTGACATTTGGCCTCCAGAGACTTCGGACAAAGAGATCCTGCTGAGATGAGCTGACTGTGGTGTCTGCAGCTGGCTTTGGTGTGAAACCTGTTGCTTTAGAACTAAGATACAAACTGAACATTTGAGTGTTCTCGGTTTATGGGACACAGAACTCATTTTGAATAAAAAAATTAAACCTCAGAACTAAGACCTAAGCTTTCCCCTCAGGGAAAGAAAGACTCAAAATAAAGAATGACTAAAACCCCTCTTCACTTAACAAGAGGGAAGAATAAGGGTTTTACAGCTGCACAGAGTCTAAAAATGGTATTTGATAACAGCAAATGGTATTATACTTTTAATGGTAATGACCTGATATTTACAACTGCATATAAGGTGATGGGAAAGATCTAGTATTGACCAGTGGTGCTAAATACATCGGTACTGACCAAAAAGAATATGAAATTATGAATAATTGGAGAGTTGGGACTAACTGACTAAATATGAAATTATGATATGAAAAACATAATTAGAGATTCAGTATTGACCGATAATGTGGAAAAATTATCATTGTGGCTTGATGCTATTGGCAATTGCTGAAAGAGAGGTTGTGATGGTGAATGTTGAAAGTTGATGCATATGCTGAGAATGTTAGATCTAAGTGATGCTCTGAACCAGTGGAAGAAACATTTTCTTTTTTTTTAATGTTTTCTTTATTGTTTCTACAGTGTTCTGCCTGCATGTACACCTGCATGCCAGAAGAGGGCATCAGATGTCATTACAGATGGTTGTGAGCCACCATGTGGTTGCTGGGAATTGAACTCAGGACCTTTGGAAAAGCAGTCAGTGCTCTTAATCTCTGAGCCATCTCTCCAGCCCCCTGGAAGAAACATTTTCAACTTGGGCAATTCTACTCTCCTCTAAGATAGGAGACTATAGCCTTTGGGAACATAATTATTCATAAAGCATTATGATTTATCCTGACACAAGATATGGCTGATACACAGGGCCTAAAAGTATATTTCTCTCCACTAATCTCTTCTCTTTACAGAGGTCGGCAGTCAATGACAGGTTTAAAGCTTCTCCTCCCCAGATACCTAAGACAGAAAACTTGCAAATGCCGCTTTCCAAAGACGGGAAAATTTGGGTAATAGGAAGATTTTGCCCAAGCCAGGTGCGACCCATCTGTCCTGTTGCAGAGGCACAGGCTTTATTAAAATTAATAAGAGAGAGTGGATTGTAGGCCCATATTTCTATATGGTGTGGCAGCCAGGCTCTGAAGCCATGGGCCCCACCTGAGGTGGTCACGTAGCCCCACTGCAGGCCCCGCCTGAGGTGGTCACGTAGCCCTGCAGACCGGCTGTCACTGCCCCAGCAATAGCCAGGATGAGCTGCTCCTTCCTCCTTTGTTAGAAATGTAGATCGCCTGGGGAGAGGTGCTTGCCAAAGATGATGACTAAGTTACAGGTGTTTCCCTAGCCCTGTGTCCCCCGGAGGAAAGAGAATATTAATGAGGTATCTACCTTGGTTGACCAGGAGGGTTAAAAGATGTTTTGTATAATAAACGCAGGTAGATCTTCAGGATGGAGAGAACCCTGAGATGCCCTTCCATGATGATGGTGTAAGCTGTGTCTGGTTATTTCTCGTGCCTCCGTACCAGTCCAATCAGGGAAAATAATTTTCTATGTTGGGGCCTTTGGTCCCTGACACCTGGTCCTAAAATTTTTTTCCCTTAACTTAACTTTGTCCTCTGTTCTGCTAATAATACCTTAAACAGGTGTGAGAGACACCAGACATTTCCATACCACAAACACCGGACAGGGACAAACAGACCAGCTACACCAGGATGTGACAGCACCCAGCCTTCTCAGATTCCCCCCTCAAAGACAATGCCCACAAATAAGCAGGAAGCAGTCTTGAGAATTTATTGCCCCAATTCCCTTAACCTGTGGTGCCTAACCTCCCGCCTTTTTATTATAAAAAAGAGATGGGAATATAATGACCTGCTCTGTCCCTTTAAGAGACAATCCATGCACACTCCCTCCCCAGTCTGCTGAATCAGGAAGATTTTCCTTCCTGTTTGCAGCCGGAGTCTCTTCCTTTTCCCTCTCTTGCCCAAGAGGCAGCTTCTGCCTCGCTCCATTCTCTCCCTGCTTCTCCCTTCCCCTTCTCTCTCTCTCTCTCTCTCTCTCTCTCTCTCTCTCTGTTCTTTTTTCCTTCTTTTCCCTCTTCCCTTCCACAGCCCACTAAATAAATATCCAACCTCACTCTGCATGGCATGCCTATCCATCTGTCTCTCACCTGCTGCCCAGGACCAGCCACCTTTGAAGACCTGTGGTGTGGTCTAGGTGCTCTGTCTCTGTCTGGTACTGGCTGCTCTGGGGCCCATTGCCTGCCCCCACTTGGGGACCTGCAGTGTGGTCTCATGGAGTGCCCATCTATCTATCTGTCCTCATGGCCTGTTGCAACCACTCAGGAAACTATGCTGTCCTTACCTGGGACTGGTTGTTCTCAGGACTCTCTGCCTGCCACCTGGCCTGCTGCAGCCACTCGAGAGCTGCAGTGTTTCTGCTGCTGCAGCCACTGGGAATCCTGCAGCATTTTTAATTAATCCATTACAGGCGGGGCTTATTTCTTAAAGGGACAGGACAGTACCAGCCCCACTGCATCCAGCCTTCTTCCTTTTTAAATAAACTTTCTCTATTTCTTCTTTTATTTATTTCTTTTTTCCTTTTTTCTTTCTTTTTTAAGTATATTCAGGAACACTCAGATACAGATGCAGAGAACATGGGTTTTTGTTTGTTTTTTGTTTTTTCAAGACAGGGTTTTTCTGTAGCTTTAGAGCCTGTCCTGGAACTGGCTCTTGTAGACCAGGCTGGCCTCGAAGTCACAGAGATCCACCTGCCTCTGCCTCCTGAGTGTTGGGATTAAAGGCGTGGGCCACTACAGCTCAGTCTGAGAACATGGTTTTAAAAGGTCCTGAGCACAAGTCGTTCTGTCCCCATGGAGCTGGGCAGGCCACCTTCCTGACCTGTGGGTCATCCTGGAAGCTCTCCAAAGCCTGTTGTTCAGAGATCTTTATAACCATTTCATCATGGGCACATGACAAATTGATAAATTATTAACTGGTTCCCAGTTCCTCTTTACAGCAGATAGGGATGCAACGGAAAGTTTCCAGCGTCCCGTCATTCTTTGATCTTATCACCAGCTGCCGTCAGGTGCCGACAAAAGTAGCATGATTACACGTGTCGATTTTAGGGCCCAGCCCTGAGAGCGCAACAGAGGCCTGAAGTCTCCGTAGTTTACTATAAGACCAGAACTGAGACCACCCAGGCACCACCCAGGAACAGACCATCCAAAGGAAATTCCTAATGTTTTAACCCTTGTAGATAGGATCACCTGCCAGCACACACCCATAGCTTTTCACCAGGACGCCCCTAGACAAAAGTCAGCCAGTCCGGGTCCTGAACCTTAGAAACCCCTCACCCCTACCTTTGCTACTATAAAAACCCAACCCTAACTGAGATTAGGGCTCTCTGATCACTCCAATACATTGGATATATGAAGAGTCCAAGTTCGAACTTACATAGGAATAAAGGCTCTTTGTGTTTATATATAAAACTGTCTCCTAGTTGCTTTTTGGGGAACTCTGTGATCTGGGCATAACATCAATCAGGCTAGTCAGTGGTGTTACACCCATTTGCACCCATTTAATCCCAGCTCTTGAGAGGCAGAGGTAGGCAGATCTCTGTGAGTTCAAGGCCAGCCTGGTCTACCAAGTGAGTTCTAGGACTTGGTCTGGAACAGCTCAGTGATTAAGAGTGCTGGCTATTCTTGAAGAGGACCTGGCATCCACATGGTGGCTCACGACAATCAAAATGTTAAGTCCAGGAAATCCAATGCCTTCTT